CGTCACACTTGTAGTCCTTACGTTTATCGTGAACTATTTTTTTGTGTTTCGTCACAATGCTCTTCTGAGAAAATCTTTTCTGACACACGTCGCACTCGTAGTCCCTTTGTTTGTCATGAACTGTTTTCACGTGTGTCTTCAAATGTCTTTGCTGTGTGAATGTTTTCTGACATACATTGCACTTGCTATCCTTTCTTTCTTTGCAAAACTTTTTCTGAACTGTTTTACGGTGCTCATTTTGTTCTTGATCACAACTGACTTCAGTTCTAGAAACTTGGATAAATGAAGTCTGATGAAAATCATCACTTTTGATTAGTGACTCTTGACAAGGATTTGGTTCAGTTGTCAAAATTTGTTCACTCCCATCCTCCGGTATATCTTGATATTCGGTTAACTGTGGATCGAGGCCTATGTATGACTCAAAGTCCCAATCCGATTCTATACTTGGAACTTCATTCAATGTAGTCCAATCGAAATCATCGATTTCATTTTGTGACTCTTCACAAAAATATGGTTCAGCCGCCAAAACTTGTTCACCTAAATTCTTCTGTACATCCTGAGGTTCAGATAATAGTAGATCGAGGCCTATAAATGACTCAAGGTCCCAATCCGCTCCTATACTTGGAACGTCATCAAATGTAGTCCAATCGAAATCTTCGATATCATTTTGTGACTCTTCACAAGGATTTGGTTCAGTCGCTAAAATTTGTTCACCCCCATCCTCCTGTACATCTTGATATTTGATTAACTGCGGATCGAGGTCCATATGCGACTCAAGTTCACAATCCAATTCTGTACTTAGAACTTCATTAAATGTAGTCCAATCGAAATCGTCGATATCATTTTGTGGTTCTTCGCAAGGATTTTGTTCAGAGGATGGAACTTGTTCGCCTACATCCTGATGTGATGTATCTGTTAACGGGGGATCGATGTACACTTGTGACTCAAGATTATCATCCGATTTGTAATGGAACATCAACTGGTGAAATTCTAAGGTAATTGCACAGCTAAAATTAATTTGACACTTGAAACACGATGTCTCAGACGAAGACATTTTTTCTGTCTTGATTAACCGAAAATTCGTAGTAATTACACTTTATATCGAACCGTCTTACTGTTCGAATGGGCCGACGGCTACTAATTAGTCCGACTTACTCGAGTAAATAGCAGAATGTGAATGCTGACACGATGAATTAAAGTATAAATAAATATAGTCGAATAATCGATCCGATTGAAATTGAAACATCATTTTTCCTCGTTATGATTAATATTTTATATTCCAGTTTACGAAACTAACAATGACATATTGCGTATGGCACTAATCTGAACAAATATCAAGAAATATATTCATTTCTAATTTCATATCACCCCAAACTAATTTTAATTTAATTTAATTTAATTTAAGCATTTTGTGTTTCGATTGAATCGGCATTTTTTTGGTAGAAATGTCAAATTTTAGCCAACCCTTTATGTAAAAATAATAGTTATTTATGTAACAAGTGCCCAAAAGGCGTTTTTGGGAACGAGTGTGCGGAAAAAGACACGAGTGCCGGCTATGCTGGCACGAGTGGGTGATTTTCCCGCACACTGTGCGCAAAAATCTGGGCACGTGTTGCATTCTAGTATATTTTGTAACAAGTGCGCGAAGCAGTTGACTCACCCAGGAGTTGTTTTCACCCGAGCGTAGCGAGTAAAAAAAATTTTTTAACACTGCGTTCGCGAAACACGGGTTTTCTAACCTTAAAGCGTCAGAAAATCCTATTTTCTCGCAAGCAGAGTTGAAAAATATCGTTTGCAACTAGTCTCGCTACGCTCGGGTGAAAACAACTCCTGGATGAGTCAACTGCTTCGCGCACTTGTTACAAAATATACAATTATGCAATAGCCGGCATAGCCGGCACTCGTGCCCAAAAACGCCTTTTGGGCACTTGTTACATAAATAACTATTTTTATATTTTTTTCTTGGTTTAGTAGTATTCTGAAATAAATAATGAGTCAAGATTTAATGAATAATATTTTATAAGTCATATCTTGAAAATGAAATGTCTTCTTTTTATGTTTCAGAATGGTTACTCATAGCATAATGTTTACATAAAAATAGTAATACTCAAATTTTTAGGAGGGAATTCTTAGCTAATGCATTTGCCGCTATTTTTCATCACAAAGCTGAAAATATTGTAGAGCATAGTTAATGTTTACTAATAAAATCTCGTCACAAAGATAGAAACTGTTAAATTTTATTAAAAGAATTTAATACTCCTAATTTCATTCAGCTTAAATAGAAAGTCAAATTTATTATGTAAATTTTATACTTTAATTTTTCTCAAAGGCAGCAGCAGCAGCATGGTAGAGAGAAGAAAAAAAAAATCATCCTCGATCATAAAATACATATAAAATTTGTTCCACGATCACGACACTCGATGCGGAATAAAGAAAGAAAAAAAAGAAGAGAACAAAAATCGTCCTTACGTCTCGAGTCGCAGAAAAGCTTAACGATTCTCAAGATTACGAAAGCTCGGAATCGAGGCTATATATACACTTGCGCGGACTATTAAATAAATTTTAACGCTCAAGCATAAAATAGCCATGTTACCTTTAAAATCCCATCGCATCAAAGAGCAGCAACGAAAAAAGAAAGAGTAGAATGAGAAGAAGACGAGTAAAATAATAATAAAAGGCCAATTGTCGCAGCATTTTAAATATTCCTTCGCGGTATAAGAAGACGTGAAAGCTCGCTTCTGCTGCTGCTGCTGAGCGTGTGTCTGTGTGCATGTATATGTAGGGCATCCGTACCAGGGGTAGATTTCCATAATACTACGATCCGACTACTCTCTCTCTCTCTCTCGCTTCTGCTCCCGGTATATACGTGACATTAAAGATATGAATATCGAGGATATGCTGCTGCCTAGCTCTCTCTCCGGTATAGAATGTGTCGCGCGCGCGAGCGAGGTATAAGTGTAGTGCAGCAGCAGCAGCAACGAACTGCACGAACGTGTTCACGTTTCTCGTCCACGTCCTCCTCCTCCTCCTCCTCCATACTCTCACCCGCGCGTACATGCCCTTCTCTTCTCTTCTCTTCTCTTCTCTTTTACTCCCTTCGTCGTCGTCGTCGTCGTCGTCGTCGTCGTCGTCGTCGTCACACCGGCATCACTAAAGAATACCTGTGCTCGCGCGCTTGAGCTGAAAATGCAATTTTCTCCGTGCGAATGTGCTTTGTGCTTTTCCTTATACTTCCTCCTTTTTGCGCGCGCGTCTAAAGTCAGCGAGAGAGAGAACTTCTGCGTGTTTTCAGTTGTGAAAGTGTAGTAGTAGTGCACGTAGTTTCTCTAACGTTATACCTCTTGTGGCATGGGGGGAACACATACACGTACATACAGACGGTATACGAGGACTGTGGAGAAACGAGAGTGGCATGTGTGTAGTGTATGTATAATATGTCCATGCTCTATGCGCGCGAGAGAGTACACGGCGTTCCTTCAATATCGCCAGAAAAATGTTGGATCCAACGCGTCGCGCGCGCGCGTGATACACAAATTATTCCGACGATCGAGATTTCTTCGAATTATTTCACGAGAAAATAGTGCGAACGAATTTCAAAAAGTATAGCGAAGGTAATTTTTTTTTTCTCCACTTGTATTAAGAACAATGTAATTTAATGTTAATTTCAAGGTTTTCTTTATGAATCCGATGGTATTTTTTACTTTTACGCTGTTGTAAGTGAATATATTTTGGATCGATCGTACAGCATGTTCGCGACAGAGCATCGACTTTGAAAATGCTATAATACAACAAGTGAATACGGTAGAAGTCTATGCTTACGATTTTCTAAAATTATAAACATTTTTGAAGAAAGAGATGAGTTTCAAATTCCAATAACCATATGTTGGACAGATAAACCTACAATTTAATGGTTGGTGCTGGCTTTAATCATGATTAAATTTTTGCGCAAATATTCGATCAGTATTAACACCTTAATTATCGATCAAAATGGTACTTTATAACAAAATATACACTTAACAAAGTTCAAAATAGGCTTTCTAGACTCATTATCGTCACTGACCAACTTGAGCTATTATTTAAGTAAAAAGCTCTTTCTTTAGTTTAATTAGTAATTTTTTAAACATTATATACTTAGAAAGAAGTGTTTAATGCACTTATAAGTAATCAAATCTCTTTTTATATGATTTTACACTCTATCCTAGTTGTCCTGGTCAAATATCAAACTATTGGGAAAAATAGGATATCGAGTATTCGACCACCTGCAATAAACTTTGATAATTATAAAATAAATGTTTCAATTCAGCTTTTTTAGAACAAAAATAAGTTCCTTCGGCATTTCAAACTATTATGTTAAATTTTAATTCTTTCACAGCCCGAAAATAAAAATAGTTTCATGCGAGTTTCATGCGATAAGAATATAAATAACGATCAAGCGATTGGTAATTCAGTTGGGTCGCTGGCACCTAAACAATTCGAATTTTTTAACTTTATGCAGAATTTTTATACGTGAAAAAACAAAAATTTTTCTTGAATGGTTGAGTCTGAGAGTTATGTTTAAAATAAAACTATTTCTAGTCTTATAAATTAAAGTTTGTAAGTTTAAGTACGATAAGATGCCAGAAGCGATTGGAAAGTTGCGTACAATACTTTATAGCACAAGAGCCCAAAAGTAGTGACCGAATTGCAACTTATAAATTAGAGTGCTATTGAATCAAAATTAAAGATATTTCTTGACACTTATTCAGACTAGTTCCATACGCCATATTTTATTATTAATTTTTTAAACTGGAGCATAAAATATTATAAGTCATAACGACGAAAAATAATGTTTTGATTTCAATCGGATCAAGGGCCCAGCAGGGGGGGGGGGGCTGACCCCCAAACCTTGGAACGGAAAAATTTTCTGGTTACGGCCCTGATCGGATCGATTAATCGACTATTTATTTACACTTTAATTTCTTGAGTCAGTGAGTTGGACTAATTAGTAGCCATCGGCTCATTCGAGCAGTAAGACGGTACGATATAAAGTAATAATAACAACGAAATTTTAGTTGTTCAAGGAAAAAAAAATGTCTTCGCCTGTGACATCGTGTTTCAAGTGTCAAATTAATTTTAGCTGTGCAATTACCTTAGAATTTCACCAGTTGATGTTCCATTACAAATCGGATGATAATCTTGAGTCACAAGTGTACATCGATCCCCGGTTAACAGATACATCACATCAAGATGTAGGCGAACAAGTTCCATCCTCTGAACAAAATCCTTGCGAAGAGCCACAAAATGATATCGACGATTTCGATTGGACTACATTTAATGAAGTTCTAAGTACAGAATTGGATTGTGAACTTGAGTCGCATATGGACCTCGATTCGCAGTTAATCAAATATCAAGATGTACAGGAGAATGTGGGTGAACAAACTTTGACAACAGAACCAAATCCTTGTGAAGAGTCACAAAATGATATCGAAGATTTCGATTGGACTACATTTAATGAAGTTCCAAGTATAGAAGCGGATTGGGAACTTGAGTCATATATAGGCCTCGATCCACTATTATCTGAACCACAGGATGTACAGAAGAATTTAGGTGAACAAGTTTTGGCGACTGAACCATATTTTTGTGAAGAGTCACAAAATGAAATCGATGATTTCGATTGGACTACATTTAATGAAGTTTCAAGTATAGAAGCGGATTGGGAACTTGAGTCATATATAGGCCTCGATCCTCTATTATCTGAACCACAGGATGTACAGAAGAATTTAGGTGAACAAGTTTTGGCGACTGAACCATATTTTTGTGAAGAGTCACAAAATAAAATTGACGATTTCGATTGGACTACATTTAATGAAGTTCCAAGTACAGAATTGGATTGTGAACTTGAGTCACATATGGATCTCGATCCGCAGTTAATCAAATATCAAGATGTACAGGAGGATGTGGATGAACAAATTTTGACAACTGAACCAAATCCTTGTCAAGAGTCACTAATCAAAAGTGATGATTTTCATCAGACTTCATTTATCCAAGTTTCTAGAACTGAAGTCAATTGTGATCAAGAACAAAATGAGCACCGTAAAACAGTTCAGAAAAAGTTTTGCAAAGAAAGAAAGGATAGCAAGTGCAATGTATGTCAGAAAACATTCACACAGCAAAGACATTTGAAGACACACGTGAAAACAGTTCATGACAAACAAAGGGACTACGAGTGTGACGTGTGTCAGAAAAGATTTTCGAGTAAGACCTATGTAAAGATACATAAAAAAGTGATTCACGATAAACAAAAGGACTACGAGTGCGACGTGTGTCACAAAGTATTTTCAGAGCAAGGCAACTTGAAGCAACACAAGAACGCAGTTCACGAAGGACAAAAAAACTTCGAGTGCAACGTGTGTCAGAAAACATTTGCAAAGCAAAACAACTTGAGAAGACACCAAAAAGCAATTCATAAAGGACAAAAGGATTACGAGTGTGACGTGTGTCAGAAAATATTTACAAACCAAGGCCATTTGAAGATACACGTAATAACAGTTCATGAAAAACAAAAGGACTTTCATTGCCATGTGTGTCAGAAAAGTTTTACACAGAAAGGTTCTTTGAAAATGCACATGAAAACAGTTCATGACAAACAAAAGGACTTCGAGTGTCACGTGTGCCTTAAATTATTTTCACGTTCGAGCCATTTGAAAGCACACTTAACATCAGTTCATGAAGGACGAAGGGACTACGAGTGCGAAGTGTGTCAGAAAAAATTTTCACAAAAAAACAACTTGAAATTACACAATATAAAAACAGTTCACGATAAACAAAAGGACTGCGAATGCGACGTGTGTCAGAAAAAATTTTTACAAAAGAACAACTTGAAATTACACATAAAGACAGTTCACGATAAACAAAAGGACTACGAGTGCAACGTGTGCCATCAAACATTCACACAGAAAGTCCGATTGAATACACACATAAAAACAGTTCATAAAAACAGTTCACGAAGGACGGAAGGACTTCGAGTGCAACATGCGCCATAAAAAATTTTCGGATCGGAGCAACTTGAGAAGACACCAAAAGACAGTTCATAAATAGTAATAAGACCTTGATAACAACGGATATCAAAAAAGATTTTTATAGTGCGTCGATTGCATCCTTTGCCATTAAAGGTTTTGACCACACAACCAATTGACAACACTTATACACAATTGACGGCACTAGAAAACTTTTCACTAGTGACGAAAAGATATCGAATCTAAGGTACATTACGGCATTTGGAAGAAAATATAGTTTTAGGAAACTATAAATATTGATTAGCTTGGACATTAGAAGTATTATTATGGGATACTTAAAATACCAGGGAATAATTTCTTAAAAAAAAAAAAAAATTAATTGTGATCCATTTACTTATAATCAAGTTTAAACAAATTCAGTCAATGTTTTGTAAATTGATATTCATTACAAATTATACTGTCCAAAACTTTTATTTGTAAGTACTAAGAATAAATATATTACTCTCATAACTACACAACATGACACAATATAATCAATACACAATATAATTAATCTCAAATTACGGTTTAAGCTTAATCATTAAACTTCATTCTTATTGTTAGTTCGAAATATTTCATGCATAAGTCTGTACTGATACATTTTCAACAAAGGATACATGTCAAACTACCAGATTTTCCTTTAATTTTAATGTCTGAGTTTACTTCAATAAGGCATTAACTATAAGTTTTTTTATATTTTGACTATCTATGCTCCAGGACCTATCAGCGTTTACTGAATATTCAGATAATAAGAGTCTGAGTTGAATTAGATTTTAATTCGAAATTGGAGGCTTTTTTCAGAAAATTTAAACAATTTTCAATATATACACATTTATTACAATTCTCGTTGGGGTGCGTCAAAATTTTTCTTTTAGCAGGTGTAGCACGCCACACGAGCCACGAATACAGAGGAAAGATAAAAGTGGAACTTTGAAGAGTGACACATTCAATTTTCTCTCGCTGCGATATATGTATGGTCATTCCGACTGTTTCTTCTTATTTCTCCTCAGTGCACGATATATCACTCGAATTCTCGTTTCGTCTTCTTCTTCTGATGGGCAGAAATTATTGATTTGTAAGAGGAAAGCTGATGTAAATTTCTGATACCACTAATTGCAACGCTCCATTGAATAAAAATATTTATTGTGATAAAAAGTGTCATATTTTATTATGAGCTTTTCGATTTTATCAACAGATGTATTATTGGAAACTAGCAAGTCCATCGTTACATTCTCGACAATATAATCACACTGCATTGTGTCGATTGAGCCTTATTTTGTACATCGTAGGCTATTCTAAACTGCGGAGATCCATAATCTCCAAATGTCTCGAATCCTGGCGGTCACCCCTCAAAAACTGAATTTAGAGCAATCGAATGATTTAGAATGATGGTAGATGGAATTTCACGAACAATTCAAATACAAAAATCAAGATCTTGATGTTTGCGATTTTTCATCTCGGTGCAGAACGACTTTATTCAAAAAATGTAAACAACATGAAAGTGTTAAAATTAGCCAAAGAATATTTTTAATTTACCTCATTTCATTTTTTAGTCCGACATCATGCGAGTAAATATTTCCTTCTCAAAATCATTAATTTAAAAAAATTAATTTTTCATCATCAGTCAAATTTATATTTACCCTAAGCGATAACGATCGATTCTTCAAATCGTGACCACAGTCTTTCCAAATTTTGAAAAATATTTCCAGTTTCAAGTTGGCACCTAACACACACGTGCGGCAAGTAAAAGAATCTACGACGCGTCACAGTTCCTGCATACACTTTTGCTCGGATGCTCGAATGCTTTGAATTTTCTCTCCCTTCGCACATATGCAAAGGACGCGCGATGCAACACACGACTCTCTCTCTCTCTCTGTCTCGCTCGAATTATATATCTGCGCATAAGAGGCTTCGCGCAATCTTCGCCTTGCGCGCACGCGAGTATTAAGATTCACGAGCGTACGTACAGTGGTACGTACAGGTCGTACACACATACCTATACTAGAGAGGGAGATCGCGTTGCTTTTAAAAGGAGCACAGTACAGCAAAATATGTACACACACACGCATACCCGAGTTAGTTTAGGGCGCTCTGCAGGGCTGCAGAAATAGCGGCGCACGCTCCGCTAAACACGCATGTACAACGCGCGGATGCGCATACGTAATTTGCTTTGATTTTTCGAGTTCAGACCTTCGGAAATTGGTTCGCACGTAAGGGACTTGACATACATTTATCTCGGTTGATGTAATATTGATTTTCTTTTTACAAGTATTTCTCCGATGTATAAAAATGTGTAAAGAATCTCAGTCATCGTGTGCACGCGAATAGTATGACTTTTCGAACTCGTGTATTTTCCTTTCGGTAAGCCATAATTTACACGCGGATGCTCGTTAAAGTTGGTTGCGGAGCTCACAAACCACAATTACAAGAACGGATCTCGCGCGCCGCGTATAATATTTCTCTCCGATGTCAACCACACACGCACACAGTATACACGGCTATACATGTACGTAACACACATAACATTTTCGTCGTTGCAGATTTTCGGGCATTTATAAAAGTGCCGCCGTTACAACACACGAGCCAATACATATTAAAGCCAATACACAATATTGAATGCTGTATATACACGTCTGTGCGCGCAGCAGCAGCAGCAGAGTGCTCGTTTGCTCTGTTGGCTCTACGAACAAAGCTATTCAATTTGTTTGTGCATATGCACACACCACTGCCGCCCGTATGTGTGCAAATATAGATAGCTCCGAGAGCACTGTGCGCTCCGCGCGCGCCCAGATGTATATATGTGTATATATATACACGAGGCAGCAGCAGAAGCGTGCGAATCTCTGTGTGAATGTATTATACATGCCGTAATATATAGGTATAGATAGATGGATATAGATATATATGGGGGGATGATTTGTACACGCGCGTACGTGTAAATACGCGCGAGCGAGAGGTAACTTCGGATGCTACATTGGATTTTCCGAGCGTATGGGTATAACACTAACGCGCCCCACGACTGATATCCCCGTGCGGCCTATATATGGAAATAATTTAAAACTCAATTTGCGAGGATAGGTAGGCGAGACCATATAAGCCCCGGCGTCCGTCGACACCACCACCACCACCCCAAAGCTCTCGTTTTAAATTTTACGAACATCAGGAATCGCAAGTCGAGCGTTCGGGAGGGTTTCCCAGGTGCCATGCAAATTTTTGGAATTTTATTAACAGCCCGAGCCATGTGTGTGTGTGTATGTGTAAGCGCCGAGCCTATATTGGAGACGACATATGTAATTCTCCACGTAAATGCTCGCTTGGACGTCATGAATTTATATCTGTGCCGTTTAATGCCGTGACTGATTGGATTACATGGGTGCACGAGAAGCTGCGGATGTGTTGAAAAGTATGGATGAGCAGTGCAGCTGGATAAGTTGGAAATTTTTGCCGGGAGATTCGAGTTTTTAAAACAAACTAATGCTATTTACACGGCTGCGTAATATACACCGATAGTAACATTGGCTATTTTGTTTACACGTTGAAACATGATTGTAGAAACGGCAAGTACTTGTTTATATCGCGATACAAGTCGATTTTGTTGACACGAGTAAGGATATATAAGGGAGTTGACTGCATTAATGTAATTGACACGAGGATGAGATAGAACAAATAATGATGACCAAAAAATTATCATTAAAAATGTTAATTTAATTAAAATTTCGTAACGTTGAGACCAGTTTTGAATCACGATAAATTAGACAATACTACTTTGCAACTAAATCTGCAAGTGGTAACGTCATAATAATTGTATAAGTCAAAGGAAGGTTATAGAAAAATTACATTGATGGTTTAATTATCTTTATATAATAATCTTATAAGTCGGTACATAGTCTATAGTAGTAAATGAGTTATGCTACATGCTTCGTTTTGAAAATAAATACTTCATCGTTAAGTACAAACTAGCCATGAAACGTTCGGCGTTTCTACTAGAGAACAAATGAATTTTTTATCATAGCAGTAAGTTATGAAGATGTAGTAAAATTTACTAACAAAACTATCGATTATTGGTACTAAAAAAATATCTAAAAATTTGTTGTGACAAAGTCAAACATCAAAGAATAGGAGTCGCGTTACAATAGTGAACATCGAGTGAAAAAAAATTCAAGTTTTTCGTCGCACCGGCACTCGTATAATAGCAGACGGAGAAATTCTTGGCTTTTTGTGCGCCATTTTCCTCTCTGACAGAACTCATCGAACTCACCATCCGTTATTTCTTACATAGGCGCGCTCACTATCTTATCGTCGTCGTCGTCGTCGTCGTCGCGCGACTTCATGAGAGCTGCACTCGCGGCAAAAAGTGGCTGTTTGAGAAAGAGAGAGAGAAAAACCTATAGGAGAAATGAACCCCGGAGCTCTCTTTTCCAGCGTTACGTACGTCGTACGATAAAAGGGAGTACCGCCGCCGCCGCCACTGCGTTGAAATCGTCAAGGAAGAAAGCTGAAAGAAACACATACACGTGTTTGTGAATTGTCCTTTGATTTTCTCTCTTTTTTATTCCATTCGATTGTGCGCGTGTGTGTACTATTTTCTAGTTCGGAGGAAGTAGAAATAGAGATATAGAAAGCGAAGCAGAGAGATAGAAAGGGATTTAAGCGATAGCGCCGCGCGACGCGTTTTCGTATATCCTACTTTTTACATCTATATTCACATCGATGTTCGAGCTTAAAAGCGTTGCTCTGCAGCTGCTCGATGTTTTGCCTTTTTCTCTCTCTCGATTTTTTCTTATTCTATGTATGCAGATGCTGCTGCTGCTGCTGCTGTGCGACGTCTCTGCCTTGTTTTTCGATAGTTCCGCTTTTACTCTCTCTCTCGCACTTTATATACTTAACTCAAAGTACATAAATATGTTGTAATGTACATAAGCTCGATGTATAAAGTACAGCAGTTGATTATCGAGAAAAAGATATTAAATCGAATTTTAATATGCTATTGTGCAGAGTCGAATTTAGCTGCGAGCTATATACGTGTTATTGCCAGGATATATTGCCTATACAGCTTACACACATACATACACACGTGCATCGAGTGTATCGCGAGTAGTCGATTTGCCCTCGCCCGACCCGTACCTATAACGACGTGCTTGGGTATACCCGCGCTCTTACTTTTGCCTCACGCGTGCTTATGTGTTTCCAAGCTCTCGGTGCGATTCGCGCGAAACTGGGATACAAATGTCTTGAGATTTGCGTTAAGCAATTTTTTTACATTATCGTCTTCGGCATTTTATTTCCACGATGTATCTATTCCGGTTTCTTTTTTTTATTTTAACAACGATTTCATTCGATCGTTGACGAGAGTATTTACAGCATTTACTTTTCACATTTTTTTTTTTTTTTTGGAAAATGTGAAAAATCAATGGTAAATTATTCAGAATTTGCTACAAACAGCGCATTTTATTTTAACATTATTCAAGCTGAAAATTTA